GTATGACGCCTCACTACAAAGACGCGACCAATGGAAGGAATCCCAAAATGTTCGGCAGTGGAGCTGACAGCCTGAACTTCCTTTTTTCCCACTACCCACCATGAATACACCAGACTTTTGGGCAATATGGCATCGTACAAAGCACACTGGCGTTACATTTTAATAGGCACCTGAATTACATGTACATGTTTTATACCAGCTTCAGCATGACTAAATTGGGTCATGGGTACAAAAAGGACAAAAACAGGAGTTCTGTTCAGCTGGCTTGCATTTGAGTGATAATCCTGGCTATGTGGGTATTAACAGAAAGTAAGGGTCTTTTTTTTCGTGTCCCAGATACATCTGACATAAGATTTTGTAAGTTCAGAACACATTTTCTAATTTCCACGAGTGATGAATTAATGCAAATGACCTGCCACACAAATACTAAGGGTTTGAAATCAATTCCGGTGATTTTTCCATGTCAAATAGCAAAGGTCAGATGTAACAGGGACAGGAAAATGTCACACTTTTATACCTCTAATTTCTGGACTTACCCATGAACAGTTATGTATTAACTTGTTTAATCTCCCCACCCTTTACAACAGGAGAATTGTGAATGACTGTCTATTTTTGTATAAACACATCAATGACCGCTTTACTGTAACTGATGCCAACCCATTTAGTCTTCTTGTTCTTGAGTGTCGCACCAGGTTGGCTGCTAACCATATTCTACACATTCCATGGAGTTCCAATGGAAATAACCAAACAGGGCTTCATCTCAAGAATTTCGTCAACTGCATGACTGGCGTCTTTTCAATAGGGGCCAGATTAGCGTGCAGCGGTATTGTATCGCTCATCACTGGAGCCTGGAGTGCTTTTGTCCCCGGTGGTAATCGACTCGCACTGAATGTCACAAACAGTGGTATAATCTTTCAAAACAATGATGAATTTTCTCCTCTATAGACAACTGAAAAAAATTGTTAACAATTCCCAGCAGCTCGGCCTTTTGTTCCGAGTACGGTAATAATATATATATTAAGAATATGATTACATATTAATTCCACATTCCAAATATATGGTATTGCTCTTTAAAAGTCTTGTTTATTAACAGTGGAGGGTGGTGAGAAGGGGGGACGATTACAGAATTTCATCAAAGCACTGACAAAATGCAACCCCCCCTCCTCTTCTAGCCATCCCCTGAACGTACCCATGATCTGTTTGAACTCCTTGCGTTCCTGGTCCCTCTCCACTGTCAGCTGCAGTACTTTGGCCTTCAGCTCCTCAATGGTGGCCTTGGCTTCCTTCAGTAACACCCCCTCTGACATGTCGCTGCAGAACTCCTCCAGCATCCCTTCCGCTGATGCCGAAATCTGCCGGAAACAAAACCAGGGGTGTACATGCGACCCTTTAATGAGGTCCTGTCTATTGCTGTGGCTTGAAGTTACAAACAACTTTACACAGCACCCACTAGCCATAGAGTCATAAGTGTAATTTCAAGTCTCAGTCAAGTAAACTGGATACTGTCCAAGTTAACTTTGGTGTCTATAACCCCCTGGTGCTCCAAATACACGAGTAATCCCATCAGAATTCAGAAATACACTATTGTAATCTCATGTGACTCGTGGTAAGCTATCCGCTGGAAACTTGCAGCTCTGGACTGGCTCTTTTAGGTTCGATCCTCTGAATTTCTCAAAAACTTCTTGATAGTTTTTTTAACGCAATAAAGTGGCACGTACAATTTGCTGTTGTAAAATGAAAAGACAAACATCTGCCTAAAGTACACATGTTAATAGGGAATTGTACTTATTATTCTTGAGGGCACACAGAACAGGTAAAAAAATATACTGGTTGGATTCTACAGTACTGCATTTACAGAAATCATGCTGAACCATGATCTTGACAAAGTTTGGACAGCGGAGTTTAGGATCTTACTTTTTCGATGTACTTCTTGTAGAAGGCTTTCATTGAGGTGTCCTTGTCTTTTGAAGCTGGCTGTGACTCTTCCACAGTCTCGCTGCTGACTGAGGAGCTTGCTGCATCCTTCGTGACAGGTGATGTGGCATTTTTGTCACTTTTTTCAGTATTTGTCATGAGCGGGGGATCAGGCACAATGACAGGCCTCTTACTGGCCTGCAAAGTCTCCACAATCTTGGGGAAGGAAGACACAGATGAGGATGGGGTGTCTTTGGGGGGTGGGAGGTTCCCCGTTGGAGATGCTACAGTTGCCTTCTTGCTGCTCTGTGCCGTTTGCAAAGTATTAGCTTGAGAGGTATCGCTCTGTGAAGTATCTTTTAAAGGTGCTGAACTATTGTCAGTAACTGTTGGCCTCTCAGGTGTTGGACTAACTATTGGCCTCTCAGTGGATGGACTAACTGGTGGTGGGCTGTGAGGCTCATCAGTCCTTAGCGTCTCCTCATTGGGGTTTGCAGTGTCCTCAGGTCTTGATGTCTCCTGTGACACTTCCTTGTGGCTTGATATTTCCTCGGAAGTTTCTGTCTTCTCTTCGTGTTCCTTAGGTGAGAGAGGGGCAGTTTCTCCTTGCTGCACTGTGCTTTGGTCAGTCTGGTCAGCCTCGTGGCTTTCGAAGGGGTCCGATACAAGGATGACATCATCAGTTTCCATGGGAGCTGGATCCTCTTGGACGTCAAGCTTCAACAGTTCAGCAGACTGTTCTAATTTTTCAGATGACTTATTACTTTTAGTGGCACCCGCTTCTGACTTCTGAATTATCTTGCTACCTTTGGTCTCCACTTTGCTGTTGGTTCGCGACTCATCGATGACCAGCTCACCTTCCTCAGAACCAGACATTTCCGAGTGGCAGCTCATGACGAGGTCAATGTCTGCATCCACCCATGTTTTCTGGGATGTACTGGATCCTCTAACATCACTGGGTACATTTGGAGACATCGCTACCTTTTTTTGGTCGGGTTTGATTGGATCCTTACTGAATGGTTCTTTGTCCGGGTTTGTATCAGAACTTTGGTTGGTAGTATCATGCACTAGTTTTGTGGCCAGGCTTTGGGTAGCCCCATCACTTGACGTTGTTGCTTTATCAGATCCATCCATGTTTGGGCTCTGCAATCCCTTCTTGGAAACACTCTGTCCTCGGTCATTATCCACCTCCATATCTGAGTCCTCAGAGTGCTCTGCTTCGCTGGAGTCCGAGTCTGAGTCGGCAGCTGATGACTCCGAGTCTGAGGTCTCTTTGTCTACACTGTGCAGTCTTTCAATACCCAGCGAGGCCTTCATGGTCTCGATGGTTTTCTCCAGCTTCATGTGAAACTTATCTTTCCTGGGCAGGGATTGCTGGGATGTGCTGGGGGTGTCACCATCTGGACTGAGCTTCTCAGATGGGTCGACCTCCAGGCCAGTCTTGGAAAGTTCTGAATCTTTGGTGTTTTGGTCGCTGGTGTCACCAGTGACAGGCGAAGACTCTGGTGTATTACTCCAACTGTCTTCTTTCTCTTGATTTTGAACTGCAGGTGCTTGATCTCCTGAGTTACCCGAGAGTTTTGTCTTTTTGCCATTCTGTTTAGCCACAGTGCCTTTCTCTGTTACCTGGCCACTTTGACTGTCACAGTCCATCATGTTGCCAGTTTGGTCTCCCTCTTTCTGTTCAGCATCCAGGCTGGCCTGCCTCCCCATCTTCCCCAGGGTCCTGGGGCTGACTTTGCTCAGTTTGACGGCCAGGCTCCGGGCAAAGTCGTTGGTGGAGACGTGGGTCTTCCCCAGGAGCTGCACGGCTGGCGATTGGGCCTCCACCTCAGGATCCACATCCAGGCTCTCGTCGCTGACCTCAAATACACCGGCCGGTGCCTTGCTCGGCGATGACAGAGCACTGTCGTCACTTTCCACAGTGCCTGAGTTCGGCTTGCCACTTGACGTGGGCCCAGTTTCCAGAGTGTCAGATATTTTTGTTGTTGACTTGTCCCCACCTGGAGTCCTCTTCCGTGTGATGTTGAAGATCTGCCGTCTGACGACAGTTGGCCCTCCATGCTTAGCACTCACTTCATCTGAGTTGACCTGCATGCTCTTGACTGACAGATCTGGGCCTGATTGCTTATCCTCAGAAGCGCTTTCTCCATCAGCCGCCGATGTTTTATTTTCAGATTCTTGACTGGAATCCTTGCCACTACTAATAGCATCTTTTGCCAGTGTTGTGTTGGTGACAGTTTGACCTTGCCAACTGTCTGACGGAGTTGTGACATCTACTTTCTCGGCAGCCTCTAATCTGTCCATGGGCTCTGACTTGATCTTTGTGGCAAGCACAGCCTGGTCTGGTTGTGGACTACTCCCATCTAGCACACCGTTCATCAGTGTTTCGGGCTCTCTCACTGTCCACTTCTGCCTGTCCTTGGGGTCGATGGTCAGGCACTCAAATGTCCCGTAGGGGGTCCGGTGGGGAGCGTACAGGAAACAATCTTTGCCAAAAGTCTTCTTCAGGTTCTCAATATGGATCTCCATCTCCATGATGGAGGTGCTGAGGCCTGAAGTCTTCTTCTTAGATGGGTTTGGGATTTCTGGGCAGTACATGTAACAGCTAGTGACAGGAACCCACGCCCTATCAAATAAATTGAACGATAAAAAGACACGAATGTTAAGTGTCTGTACAAAACTGGACACACAGATGTATTTCCCCAATCACTACACCAGAGAAAACAAGCATTCTCTTCCCTGTTTCTCCTGTGATGGACAGTGCTCTAGCTCTGTGTCCCCGGTAGCTCTCAGCAACCAGAATTCGAAATATTTAATCTGATTTTATTTTCTACCTGTCATGCTGCCCGAAGAAGCGGACATCTAGGAGCCCGTCCTTCTCACGGATGACCTTGGAGGGCCAGAAGGGAAAGCCCTGTAGCTTGGCCCAGACCAGCTTGTGAGGATCACGCTGTGGGGGAAAAACCAGAGCCTGCCATTAGAATCCACACCTGCTCAATAAATATGGAGAGTTTGAACCCAAGGCTGCTGAACTGAAATTCCAGTGCACTGCCCATAGTTTGGAGTTGTTGTGTCTTCAGTGAAAAACCACAGTTTCTCTGATCAAATGCAGGGGTGGGATCGTGTGATTTAATGCTTTGCCTGAACTGACTGAACATTTCATCACAAGTTGCTCATTTTGCAATAAACCGGGTGAATAATTCAGCATTGACAAGCACATCATAATCAGTCTGGACAGAAAAACAACTCCTTTTAGGCCATTTTTTAGGCCTTTTAGGCTTCAACTGTTTTTTTTACTAGCAGACTTTGAAGCTGTAAGCACAGTAATCAGTCTAATAGTGCCACAGAACATCAAATGAGATGCAAAAAAGCCAAAAATTAAAGTAATCCAATGTAATTTAAACGCTTCAGGCCCACAATCGGGGATTGGTTTTAGGAACGAAGCCTGAGATGGAGACGAAGTTGAGTGTTGGAAAACGGCCCTAGTTGTCTTTGTCTTGCAAGTTTTCGATTGAAGTGGTACTTAACCTTTCCGCAATTCACTACCCTACCCGTGCCCACCAAAGTGAGTAACAAGATTTTTTTAACCATTGGCCGACGGGATTAATTTTGACAAAAAAATGCCAACTTCTGGGAAAAAAAGAGCTATATTGCAGCCAACATTTGATACATGACCAAATGCCATAAATTCACAAGAGTCATTTAAATTGTACGATATCTGCAGCCTCATATTTTTCAACACTCTGGGATGCGACCGTGAAGCCAAGATGGGATTACGACAGGCCATGCATAGCTTTCAAGTTGTAGTCCAATGCACAGTCCATCTCGGCAGACTTTTCAGAATTTGTGTGTGTACAAAACAAATGGGATATTAGTGTGTTTGAACACCGGCCTGAGGTGAGTTGGGCCACTCTTGACCACAGATCGAATAGCGCCGCATAGTGGTGCAAGATGGAGAACTTCACCGTGAATATATGTAAAATATTGTAATCGCATGGGTGCCATTTGAGCAATCGATACGCCTATGCAGTGCACATTAATGCACAGGCGCAGGCGCAACGGCAGGCACATGCACCTGGTGCACCTGTGCCCAAGCATTACCGTAAACTGCGCAGGTGCATCGCTTGCTCAAATGGCACCAGTGGTAATTACACCTTTTGGACAGAGTTATCCATCTTGCGCCTTCGGAGCTATACGATCTTTGCTTTTGACTATTTTAATCTGTCTGCCTGTATAAATACAGATAGCCAGACCATGTTTGAATATCCTCCATTGAGAAGGGGTTTGCCTAGGAAAAAACAAAGACTTGCTTACACAGACTTCACAGAACCAATTATCACGCTTGACACTGGCTGACAAATAGCAATCTGGGCAGATCTCGATCTCTTTCATCTAGAAGAAAACCATTGATAAGCTTCTTAATCAAGCCTTCTGTCAGTTGTCAAGCCTTCTGTCAGTTGCCACAGACACCCTCATCCAAATTCAAACTTCTAGGAAAAGAACAACTTTCTTCCATGTGACTCGTTTTGGACTGATTACAGTGCAAATCATTGAACTCAATTAACTAGTATTTGAGTATCTCTCATGCTGTGTTCTACTGTCACAAATGGTGGGTTAGTCTCAAGGAATATACATGTACCTGTAGTTTTAAATATCATTCAATACGCTGCATCTAAAAAGTGGTCTGTAGCAAACAAAATGCCATTTCTGTCCGTGATAACCAACTGTTAAAATGGTTTTCCTTAAAACTCAAGATTCCGTCAGGGAACTGTCGATCACAGTAGATGCATTAACTGCACCAGTATTAATCATCCATCAGAGTTTGGTCTCATTTTGGGAGAGTGGAATGTGTATGGCCTACTCACACAAAAAGACAAACTGAACATTCATCAATCAACTAAATGTGAAAAAAATTGAACAAGAGGAACTTACCTCATATTCACATATCTTGATGATCATCCTTGCACTGTTTGTTAACTTGTGATGTGCTGCACAAGGAAGTAAACAGGCATACACAAGGAAGTCAGAGAATGTGCGTTCTAGCTAACAAAAAAGCTGTCTTAAGCTGGGGTGCATCCATGTTTGTACACAAACCTATGGAAAACTTGACGTTGAGTATGGTTCTGACTTATATAGCTATTTGCACACCTGTGTTAATATTCTAATAAAGTGTGTCAACATGGCCAATGTGCCAAAAATGAGTGTTTAGTTTGACACGGTGTTAACACCACCAATGTGTGAGCATTGCCCTGCAATGTGCCACATTGCACTGCATATAAATTAGGTGGAGGCTATTTCATGCATCATGGCCATGATGTAAAAATGTGCTCACATGCTGTTCCTGGATGCTGTGCTGGTACATGTACCTGCCAAATGCATTTAGAATACATCATTTAGGAATTTGTTCCCATCTTATTTCATGTTTACATATACATGTACCTAGATTGAATATGCCTATGCCCAGGAGGCACCAAAGCCTCGCTGTGCAAGAAATGACGAGAAGCACTCCAGTAATTTTAATATAGCTTCAGGGTTCTGTATCAATTTTGTGTTGGTGTTTATCTTTAGAGCAATGTACGTTGTTTAAGTATTTAAACTCTTCACAGCGTGGAACTCACATCCATTGAAGACAATACAATTGTGTAGAATCCACTTTGCATCTAGAAGAAATGCCTCAGTGCTGCCATACATACGCTTCTTAATGTTCTGAAAAGAAAAATGATAAAACCCCAAAATGCCATGCTGCAAAGTCATCAAATATGTGTAAGCTGCAATGGAAACTGGCATAATACAGATCTTTACTGTGCCTGAGATTGGTAAAAAGGAGAGAACATGAATGTGGATAACACAAATACAATCATTTGCATTCTATTGTGCTCGTATTTTGAAAAACAAAATAGATACCAGAATCTTGACTAAACAACCCTTTAAAAGATTGAAACCGTTTTTTTTTTTACCAAAACTGAAAATTCATACTTTTTGATATGGCAATCTGAAGACAGCCCTGAATTCCAAATGAAGAATCCATATTTGGATTTACATTCAACTTTACAACTATGGAATGCCAAACCAAATCATGAATTCACACTGAACAACCTCAATATCTGACAGCACGCTTTGTATTCTGGAGGTATTCGACTACAACTCTAACAGACTCAAGGGTAGATCCAAGGGGAGGGGGGTGCCAACAAGAGCCATGGGCCCTCCCCCAAATGAGAGCAACCAAAATTTCTCTGTCCACAAATAATGGCAAGAAGGCAAATTTGTGATGTTTAATTTCCCTAAAAAGTGTGTAAAGAGCCAAGAACGTTGCCTCATCACCAAGAACGGCACTAAAAGGTTACAGAAAAAAAGCTCTGAATTTTGCCAGTTTGGCCCCCTGAAAATCTGGATCTGCCCTTGAGACTAATGAACATTCTTTAGGGATGGTCACCTTTTCGAGACTTGACAGGTCCATAGGATTGAAGACGAACTCTTCGTAGCCAGGATTTTGTTGAGTATTTACTGGTTTCAAAAATGGTTCAGCCTGCAACATCACAACAAGGAAAACATACCGCTCAGTATGGCTGGCATGCACAGCCTTTGTACCTCATGGATTTTGAATGATTTGGAACTGTACTAACATGTATATGTATACGCTGCCATTTCAACTTGGCTGGGGAGTAAGGATGTAAACTTATTCATATTTCATGATCCTACCGATTATTAACAATACATACATGTATAACTGGTGCCAAAATCAGGATAGGTTGTAGAAATATTTCTCTAAGTCAAGCATTTCGGGCTTGTGGCTTGTAACTTAGGATATTTCGTTCACAATACCTCCAACTTGTGGGCTTACAGGTGGGTGACTACATGCAAATCTGATCCCAGAGTCTGACTACTATTTTTCAGGGTATTTGGGAAAGGGAGGACTAAAAAAACTGAGGTGGCTAACACTTGTGAAATCGAAAAGAAAATTGGCCAAGTGGTCATAATCTTGGATTTCTAGTAAAAACATTGCTATGGTACTTTGCTCTTGTCCATTACCAGGATGCATTGTTTCTGTCCGGCTTGCGCTATATTCGATGGGTATGTATTTAGTGTAGTGAAACCTATAGCTCTTCATTTTGTATGAATTAAAAAGGAAGGATTAATACTTTCCCTGTTCACACTTAAAACATGGCAACATATTGATACATGCAAAACAAAACCAAGAGTTGGTTGGCTTTCATTTACTCGAGGACCGATGGGCAACTATTTACTCTACGTATTGCACACACATAGCTGGTTTTTAACCATGGATGTGTAAGACCGCCGGCAACTCTTTGAGTTCAATGCAGACATCAAAATCATGACAAGTCAGAAGTATTCAGGTGCATTCTGAGTCTGCAGTACTGCCAGGGATGAGATTCTAAAAAAAATGAAACGAACTGAAATTTGCGAGCGCCCAGCACGAAGCCCTTTACAGCACGCGGGCCCCAGGAAAATGATAATCTGTGGTGCAATCCAATGCTAAGCCCCTCTGGGACACATTTTACAATAGAAACATTTGTGAAAGACCACGCTCTGAAAAACCTAGCCTGACCTTTTTATTATTTGTTAACTTGATATGTGTTATACATGTAAAGACCCACCACAGAGTTTTCTTCATCACTTATGGTTTGTCGTGCTCCAAAATACATGTCAATTATGTTCACGTATACATGTACCTGATAGAAGATAATTCATTTTCCATGTCTAGATTTTCAGTGTTGTATTTCAACGATTCTGCATGCGCTGTTAAGGCATTTTTGCCCCGGGAAGCGTAATTAATTTCTAATGTTACATCGCACCACAGCCTTACCAGGTTTTGCCAATTTCTGAATAAATTCGGATAAGAATACTCCTCCTATTTTGGCCTCAAGCCACTCTTATTTTGGCCTCAAGCCACTCCCATCGCCAGGATTTTTAATCCCTTTGTCAATGTGCTTCACCTTTCCTTCTTGATGAATGATGTCTTTACGGGCAGACATGACGAGGGAAATGTAATGATAAGAAATGTCTGTTCAACAACACACACGACGGTACCATTTTCTGTGATAACACAAAAGTATTCAGGGTACCAGGCGGAGTGGCTTTGCATGCTGGTCTGTACACTCGTGCATGTGGTGAGTAGCATGAAAAGTGCACAGTCATTGGCTTATACGAGGATACGTCATGAAAATAAGCCTATCAGAGCGATTGTGACAGCTGACAGTTACCTGGAAACGAACACATTTCCTCGGAGACGGTTACTGATCAGCACTGGTTTTTGTCAGCGAAAAGAGCCAATGGAATGTATTGCTTTATCTTATCTCCCAATTCTAGCCTGGTACCAGTTCGGATCTGTGTGCACGTTGACAGCGTGTGCCTAAACTACACATGAATGTACGGCATGCACAGCATGACATAGTGCCCTTTGTGGTCAATATGATTTTGATATTCTTAGGACGAAATAAAAATGACGTGACATATGGAAAGTAAGCAATGAGAAATGCAATTTCATTTTATTTCACAACAAATTGAGGCTCAATATTATCATATCTGATACCTGAGAGTCGAAAATTATCTTGATGGAATGGGTTGGAAAGTTTAAAAAATGGGAATTTTTAAGTCGACTATCGCTGTATCTGACAGTCCCAAAAGGTGGAACTTATTTGCAAAAGTGGATTTTCAAAGTCCCAAAAAGCGGAAATCCGCCAAAAAGTGGAAGAATCTCACATCCCTGTGCTACTCAGCAAACTGCAGTTGTTACTCACCCCAGTGTGCCTCATTCTCTTGAGCGCATACAAAAGGAGCTTGGCCAGCTGGTCCTGAGTTAAGGATGACATGGCTTTGGACTGAGAATCGACGCACTCGGCATTTGTTGCTCGCTGCCAAATAATAAAAATGTCACAGTGAAGGAAGACAGTAAAACCAACAAACTAACTGTTAATACTTGCTCACTCTGCTGATGAGAGACACACACTATGCCAGCAGTGGTCCAAGAGTGGGAATAGTGAGAACTGCATGCTATCAGTTTTTAATGGAATGAGCACAAATCTGCATTGTCTTTTCATGACAGAAACTCATCACCAGCACTGTTTGCAACCAATTTTCAGTTGAATAAATGCAAATCCGACGGTTGTGTAATTGAGTCCATCAAAAGTTCCTGCAAGTCCTTCAAAGTCTTTTAACTTAAGCACAAGCTATTCAGATGAACTATGGCAATAACATTCCATTTGCCATTGTCCACCGTGTTTTATGTATCACTGGTCTTGAGACAAAATGGTACACTGGGGTATACTGCTGAATCTTTATCAGGCTTTTACCTTACACTCTGGGCAGAACCAGTCACCCACTGGGTCTGTCTCCAACTTGGCACACTTGGAGTGATAGACCCGTGGACATAACTCACAGCAGATGACTGAGCCCTCCTTATGACACACCCAGCAGTAGAAGTCATTTCTGGAATCCTGCAAAGAAAGGGAACAAATCAAGGCGATAAGAGTATATTCCATCCATTACGGGCCATTAGTTAAATAGCGGATAGGTCACAATGCATTTGAACTTCTGTTTTATGAACTCCCACCCTCATACATCACCGTCGTGTAGGCATGTGCCGTATAACCGATGAGTCAACCATTCCTGGAGTCTGCATTTCACTCTACTCTGGCTCAGCTGCATTCTTTTAGTCTGTTATCATCCCCTGCAGGCTTATCCCATTTATTCCCTTGTTATAACGCCTCCCCCTGCCACTTCAACAAAGTTGAACACCTGCCAATTTTGACAAATTTCATTGTCTGGAGTCCAATCCTGATGAGAACATGTTTTATTTCTCTGTCCCAAGTTATAAAAATCTACTGGCAAACATTCGCTGCAACAATGCCTTACATGTACCTGATCTCGGTTGGATCGGACAATCTTCCTCTTTTTGCTCGACGGCGGCACATAATCAGCCTTGTTTTTTAGCCCCACCCTGTTCCCATTAGGACTGGACTGGCTCAGCTTACGCTTTGGTGCGGTCTTGCCATCTACACATAAGAAAAAAAATTAAACAAATCAACATCAATATTACTTCCTTCAACGGTTTCAACCCTTATATTTTGTTGTATTCAAACTGAAAAGGTGGCATTCCATTGTCAAATTTCGAGTGTACACTGCACATGTAGCTCTGTGCAAAATCTGCTGCAGCAACACCCATGTCTGTTGTCAATAAGACTTGGATGTGACTTACATGTATTTCACGCCCTGTACCATGTATGGCCGTGTCTGAGCTCCTTTACAACTGTGATTCACAGCCAACTTAATAAATAACTCCAGTGTTTTAGGAGATACGTGTGGATAGCCAAAAACTGACTCCATCTTTTTCTGGCAAAAGATCATAGCATAACACCTCCTCAATACTGTTGATAAAATGCAGGAGTTATCCGGTGTTACTCACCAGTACATAATCCCTGCCAATGAAAAACATTTACCACACACTTTGAAGCTCACAATTTGAATCTTGGGGAATCTGGAATCCAATATTCCAGGCACTGGTAGTCGGTTTCTCAAAAGTGGGAACTCAGGACTCTTGTTGTAAGTCTGGATTCAATTAAAGATTCCGGCTGGCAGTCATTCAAGCCCAATTGTGTTTGTGGGAGGGTGAGAGGTCAATTTCCCTAGGTGCCCCCCCCTTGAAGTTTTCAAGCTGTAATTCATTTGCCTCAGATGCCCCCTCGCAAAAAAAAAACCCCATAAGAGCACCCCAATTCCCCCTACAGAAATTTCACTTTAGTTACACTACCACTGCTAAGGAAATCACCTTCATGTTTTTTGTGTGCCAGGGAGGATTCTCTACTTGTCTAAATCCCATGTACATGTACACCCCTACATCATATATATTGATGACCAACCATTAATTTTACAAAGTAAAATCATCTTTTCACCTACCAGTAGTTTGATGGTTTCTTACCTTTTGGGGATTTAGTCCCATGGAGGATCTTGTCCATGAATGCGGGGGCCTCCCTCTTCATCCTGCCCGAAAAAAGATGACTTTACGCTCAGTAGCATAACCCCCCAAAGTTCACAATACAGCGTAAATTAGGAGGCCGTCAATGAGAGGCCATTTTTCAAGATTACAACCCACAAAAGAATGCCCCACTTGGACTTGCCGCAACTTGTATTTGATGAGTGTCAGTAGACAGCTTGAGGAAAATTTTGACAGATCAAAGCATTCCTTGCAGTTGAAAGCAGAGAGTAGAGATGGCAGAAACAGATGGCTGAAACTTATTAGTTATACTTGGGTAATTCCACAAATCAGGGGTCCATTTTTTTTTCATGTCCCTGTCACATCTGACATACAATTTTGTAAGTTCAGAACACATTTTCTAATTTCTAAGAGTGATGAATTAATGCAAATTACCTGCCAAACAAATAGTAATAGTTTGAAATAAATTTCGGTGATATTTCCAGGTCAAGTAACAAAGGTCAGATGTAACAGGGACACAAAAATGTCACACTTTTGGACCCCTAATTCTTGGAATTACCCGCTCACACACATGTACCAATCCTCTATCTAAACAAACACATCCTGGGAACATTCAACTTTGCAGCACGCAGCCAGTTAATAACTGTTTCTCACAGTTCATTGCAAAAAGTAATCTTCTCAGTGTCACCCTCAATGACGCACTGCTTGTGCATCGTACATGAATGAACAAAAAAAATAAATGAAAATATCTGCTAAGCAAAAAACTTGGGTTACTAGCTAATATATCATTATTAGAACATGTACCCACATGCACATGCAGGCCGCTGGCCACTGGGTGATTGGTATTGACAAACTTCATATATGGGTATGCAAATTTTCTATATAAAATCAGGTCCAGGCAAATGAATGAGAGCCTAAGGCCATATTGTTTTTTTGCTCAGATTGTGCACAGGCTGCCACAGTCATGAGGTTTGACCAAGGTCCAACAGAACAGAGATTAATATGCCACACCAAGACGTACGAGTACATGTGGGCCAATATGGTGTGAAATACATGGAGCCTAAATGCAATATGCATTGTACATGTACCTGGATGTGAACTCGTAACCGACCCTAAAATATCTACTGATGAGGTCCAAACACACATTATTTGACTTGATTTTCTAAGGATTCTGGACTACCTGCACTGGTACTTAAAGATCTTCATAAATGTTGTGGCTTGGTGTACTAACTGATTATGGCACCCTGTAACTCTCTGTAGACATGGGACATATGTCAGTGCACGTGCATGGTTGGAAGTTTTGAGTCTATTTCACACATCCCTGCAAGTTTGTCACACGTCCATCACAAATGGTCTGGTTGCTAAGCCAGGCCACGATCCAATCTAATGAACTGTGACAAAAGCATTCCTTTGTTGTTTCTGTATTCACACTTTGTGACTGAGTTTGAGACTTGTGAAAGGACTTGAGACTGGACCTGTGATATGGACCCAAGCACAGCCCTAAAACTGTCCTGGAAAACCCAAGACAAGTCCACTTAGACTTCAAAACAATTAACACAAACTTGTGGTTGTGAGGAAAGCATATTACATGCATTTTAGACAAAACAACTGCTAAATGTGGGGTTTTTTTCAACTTACAATGTATCTACATGTATATTTAAAATTGAGTGCTTTTTTGATTTGGCAGTCATTCAAAGACCAAGGCCAAATTAGACTCTAATTCATGAAAGTAAGGTCAGATGTCATTTACAACAATGGTAACACTGCATGACAGGCTGTACAGTCCTTTCGTCAGCAGAGAATACTAGAATGCAGGATGAAAATGTATTCAGACAAATATAACGATACAGATGTACTTTACATGTATATGTACATACCGGTACATGTACCGATTTTCACACCCCCCATCAGGAAATAATTTCATGAACATGTACTGTACGTACCAGTATATATTGTTAGACATAACTCGACATGATCAGGCAACCAGGGCCATTTTCCAATACTCAACTTCATCTCCGTCTCAGGCTTCATTCCCAAAACCAATCCCCGATTGTGGGCCTGAAGCGTTTAAATTACATAGGATTATTGTAATTTTTGGCTTTCTTGCATCTTATATGATGTTCTATGGCACTATTAGACTGATTACTGCGCTTACAGCTTCAAAGTCAGCTGGTAAAGAAAAATTGAAGCCTGAGACGGAGCCGAAGTTGAGTATTGGAAAACGGCCCGGGTTGCCTGATCATGTTGAGTTTCTGAAAAAGGCAACATCTACTGTACATAAAAGGGACATGAAGATGTACCAGTTTACACCAGTACATGTACTGTACAGTGTACATGTGCCATGACTTACATGTACATACATGTACACCGTAAGGTACCGGTGGACTTTTTGTGCTTGTAAACATGTTCCCTGGTACATGCCAAGTTTTAATTATCAAATTAAATTTTGCCATCATCCAGTCGCAGATAATTCGTATCTTTATAATGCCACTGAATTCCCCTTTCAAAGCCAAGTGAAGGAGTGGTTAAGACACATGGTGCAAGCCCTCATCAGAATATGAGGACATCGGTTCAAATCTGTGGTCCATTTCATTTTTTTTATTTACCCCAAAATAGTCACAAAACCATCTTTGCACTGGTTTAAATTGAACTCTACATGTACCGGTACACGTATATTAAACTGCAGGAGAAATTCTCCTTCTGTTCTTAATTCATGGCTCTGGGGTTTTTCAAATGAATAGTGGAACTTCCTGTGTAGGTCTGAATTCCATCTTGTAAATATGAATTCACAATAGCAATATGCCGGTAAGCATATTGGCACACGGTATGAACATTTGTCCCAGTAAAATTTCCAAGTCCTCACATATATGCGCTGCACTTAAAATAATAATAACAACAAGCACTTGCAAAGTGCCATCTATCTAGCAAACTATTCCGAGGCACTGTATTATCATTATCCCTGCACATTGCGCTCACACATCATCCGAACATTCCTGAAACCATCTCAGCTCCCTGGGGAGTATACTATAAGCCCAGTGCTGCCATTCCGCCGCAAACGGCTAAACAACCGTGTCTGCCCTCACAGGTACAGTATCTATTTACTCCTGGGTGGAGAGAGGCACATAGGGGTAAAGTGACTTGCCCAAGATCACAACATGCTGCCACCAGCTGGATTTGAACCCCTGACCCTTTGATCAGAAGCTGCAAACCCTAACCACTTGGCCACATGCCAATTTTTAAAAGCATGTAAGGATTAGTCCACTGTCCAATACTACATGTAACTGCCTAAATTTAAATGAGGGTGTAAATATGTGCTTAGCTGGTCTTAAACGTGCGTTTGAGACAGGTTCAGGAGAACAGCCACGACTGATACCCGAGCCACAGGCGAGGGCATTATCAGCATTCGTTCTCCTGAGCAAGGTCTTAAACATTTAGTTTGAGACCGGCCAAGCACATATTTATTCCCAACTATACAACTGACTATTACATACAAGTAGCCATGAAAGAGGATTTCTGAAGCCACTTATCTCCCCTATTAAGCGAGCATTTAATTCACAAATCACATCAGCTTAAGGCTACCAGTGGATTTACGCATTGTACACATTCTACTAAAACATACAGTAATGGTGCATAGGTGTCCAAAAATGTTGCTAGTATTTCTACTTGTATGCTGTCCCCACCCTGATGACCCTCCCACATCCATTAAAATCCACAAGAACGATTCGCCAGATTTTGCACGATTCACAGGCAACAATATACATGTACATGTACTTCACACAACAATACATGTACTCACACAAGGCTTGATCAAAGTGGCAGATTTTGAATGATACACAGATGGCTAATATGACGGATTTCTCAAAATGTGGCCCACAATGGAGAGGGTAAGTGTGACATGACCTATAGTTGTTGTGACTCAATTCCGTGATTTGGCCGAGTACACCTACAGGCCGGGCTGATGAGGAAAACACAACTACCTATATATTCGGTATGTTGTGCTTAAATTTAATCCCAACCTAGGATAGTCCTTGTCTACCGGTATGTCAAGTTGCACTTCATTTTTTGGTGATTGGAACTGACGACAGGCACTTCAACTTCCACTGACACAGGCATTATGACTTGCCTCAACTACTTACTGTGACCCGATTCAACTTGGTTTGTCCTAATGATTTCACTGACTCACTTGTAAAATTAAGTGACTCTACAGAATCGAGCGAGTAAAATCGAGTCCTTTTTCTTTTTCAAGACATTGCTAAGGCACTTGCATGCTTGCCATGTACGTGTAGTAGTGCAATGTAGATTACCGGTACATGAAGATTTCTTGACCTTGAATCCTTATGCCACTCATCAAAAACTATTACTATCCATTCTGTACAATGCAGTGGTTATAAAATAAACCTTAACATTTAGCAAAGCAACTGCATGTCGATGTACAGTGTTGGGCTTTAATTTCAGTGTAATTCTATACACAGAAGAGGAAAGGCATCAGTGTGTGTAAACTGTAAGCTGTATCTCCATTTCTGTTCATTAATGTATGTATACACGTACAAAAAAACAGTGCTTTAACTAAAGTTTAAGAAAATACGAGTCATGCACATGTGCACATATTCAATACATGTACATGTACACATGTATTTGTATAATATGTTAAATTTCCCAAACTGTGGAATATGCAATTGTACCGGTACATGTGAATGCAACCGACGAAGTGTACATGTACATTGCGTTAAAATAATGACTACACTGTATGTAGAGGATAGATCATGAACATGGTACGGTACATACTGAAATCAACGATCAACTCGAATCTTCGAAGAAAACTGCCCAACGTTCTACCCTTGTATAAATGTACACGTAGCCTAAGTGAGGAATCTCGAAATCCAACATGGAGACTCTTGGCTCAGTCTGCTGACGGCAACAACTCCACCAACTTCACCCACTTGTCCTCTGACAGCCTTCTTCCTGACTCCACACAGTCCAGCCATGAAAAGCTATTTGTTTGCATAATATGTACATGTACTGAGGTCACACACAAGCTGAAAAAGAAAAAAGCCACCCAGTTCATGCAGCCAGTCCATTTGGCTGTGGTGGGCGGGATTAGTGAGGTGCCAATCACACGCCTGAGGGGGCCACGTGACTGGAGTACTGCCCAGCAGTTGGCCAGCTGCCTGCCTGATGGGGAAGTGGATGAAATTCCACAGTCTGGCAATACTCGGCATGTGCTGGCTCAGGCAACATGGAACCTGCCAGCATGCAGTTTACTACATGCATACTTGAAGCCATGCTTCAGAATTATTGGGCATGTCTGCACATTGTGCAGAGATGTTGTATTGCTGCCATGCTGCTGCCATACGTTCAAATTTGGCAAGACCTTACTAGAAATTTATGCACCCACTCCAGAGTCAGTTTAGCAGAAATGCAGCGAGAATTAAGTCAGACTGAACATGCACAAGAGACATTTCAAAAGTTATTCAGTAAACATTTTTGTTACATTTCATCAGATCATGTACATGTACATGTAACTGTATCATCCCTCTCTTTTGTGATTCTTGTTACATGTAGCTTAGATTGAGACACGGAGGAGTAAAGATTCCTCCATGATTCAAGGAATGTTTGAAAATAAATTTATCATTTATGTAATATTCTCGCAAAATGAAAATCTGGCAGACAAAAATATGATACATGGCTATCAGGGTGTGCACGTAATCTGTGAGAAGTTTATATATATTTCCTCGATCAATGCGAGTTACTTTTTGTAAAGAGATTTTCTCCTCTGTGGTGACTCTTTGTAACTACATGTACATTTCATTCTCTTTGGTGACTTGATGGAATTGTCTTCTAGCTGTTTTCCCACCAAAAAACTTGTTTGCATTTTATAGCTGGTGCACGTTCACAAACATGTACATGTATGTCTCAAGCACACTGCTGAACACTCCACCTCTGTATGTGGTTGCCAAATGTTCAAATTTTAGCCTGAGAAATTTAGAGATTCTGCTTTAAAAACAGCACCTGCATCCTTTGAAACTAAAAAAGAGATTTCAACCCTTTTTATCATTTTGGACCAGTACACTCTATTAACATCACAGCAACATTTTACATGTAAAGACCAGTTTATACTCCAGGTGAATGCTCCGCAAAGTGAATGTCACATCGTGCAACACTTGCAGCAAATTTCGCTTGATTTGAAACATAGTCAAGTTTTGTGAATTCGCAGCACAAATACCTTAAGAACCGATGACAAATGGGCTACAGGTACATGTAAATGTAGAATACAAAATTAGCCACAGACAAGTGTAATTGAAAAATGCATCTTGTCTTATGTGTAACATATTTCTTAAACATTTTTTCATGCCATCTTGATTCACAGTTTAAATCAAAGGAGTTTTTACTTATGGTTCAATTACATGACAAACATTGATGTTTTGCTTTTTGGTGGGGGAGGCTTGGAGTGGGGATATTTTCATTAATTAGCATGGCAAAACTCATTTTTGACTTTCTATATAATTTGAAACCATCTCTTGTCAGGATACCAGCAGTATGTACATGTACGGTATACAATTGTACATGTTATACTACATGTATATAGTGTCAGTCCCACACTAGTTGAATAATGTACTGTCAATGCACAGAACGCAATAATGAACTAGGCTTTTGTGCATTCCTGTTTTGATGCAAATTCACGGTGCTTACATGAGAACATCTAACCACTGAGTTTGAGTCACTGCAGCTTGTCAAGTGGGATAAAACTGCCTTCGCATTCCATTACTTCCCTTGTGCTTTCCTGTGCTTCTGTCAAGGGTATGGCTGGACATGTGCAGTCTGTGGTTGTATAAAGCAGTGGTCTTGCCCTACTCAAAGTGCCCCAGCCAGGTCAAGAGGTCATACATGTACATCAATTAAATTAACATGATTCCAAATGGTCAAGAGCAACGCACACCCAAACACAGATTTCTGGCCTCCCTATCGCAGAGCTTATAGAGTCAATTGCCACTAAATTCAATTATTTTTCTAAAGTATTTCATAATGTAGAGGCAACTTCCCTTTGCAATGTTTGACTACACTGCCATGTTTTGGCATTGTACTGTATATTTTCCCAAGTGCTGTAACTAGCTCAGCAGGTTGGCTACTTAAGCCAGGCCTGAGCGAGTGTGAGAAGCCATGTGCATGTCAAATCGAAAGCAGTCCTGCTGGCCCAAGTAAGACTGGGGGAATTACCTGCAATTGAAATTACTGGTCTTTGAATATTTACCAAATATTTTCCTCACCCTGCATTTGGCCTGCGTTTCTTCCTGAGGGCCAGAGGCAAATCAAACTGGCCAATTCCCGGTGACTTTGTTGCTGATGCCTTCCCGAAGAAGGCTTTGTTTGGTGACTGGGTCATTCCCAGTTTCACACCTCCAGATTGGCCGACAGACTTGCCGAAAATTGACTTCCTGGGAGATGATTGGCCGAGGGAGAGCTTGCTGGTGGGCGATGAGTGGACAGGGGAGGGTTTGCCAGAGGGCGACGAACCCGATCCCGATGCTTTAAAGGTGGCTTTGCCGGATGACTGGGCTGCCCCTGACTTTGCAACACCTGACTGGCCCACAGACAGCTTGCTTGATGTCGACTGGCTGCCAACAGGGACTTTGCCAGTTCCGGATTGGCCGGTGGTGAGCTTACCAGATGGTTGCTGGCCTGACAGAGATTTGCCCAGCAGTGACTTCACTGCCCCAGCAGAACTCACCTGTTTCGCCTGGGATGACTTGCCCACCCCAGCCGGATGTTTAGTTTTGGTTGTGTCTACAACTTTTGCCGCTGTTGGAGTTGTCGTTTTTACGGTGGCCATCTTTGGTGTGACTGGACTTGCCATGTCGGCTCAATCAGGCTCAGTGGCTCTCTTATGTAACTGGCCTGCACACTTGTGTACTTTGACGAAACTGACCAAGCTGCAGTGATGTCAGCATGGGTGATGCTCTCCAATATCCATCATGATATCTACTGCATTCAAAGAGTGAAAATGCCAAAACATGATACATTCACGATTCACTTCACCAATTCTAGAACACATGCCACATGCAAATGTGCTCCTCTCCCCACCGTCCCCACATTTGAAATTTTGAAATGTTCAAGCCACTGTTCATTTTCTTTCATGAGTGCTCCCTTGGAAAAAAATATGTCGAACCCCAAGTACAGTACATGTACCCCCTAGGAAATTATTTTGTACAGATTCTGACCAAAATTTGTATCCCTTGCTTGGGACTTAAACCAGTGCATGCATCTACTGTTTCCACACAGGCACCCAAGGTGACACAAATCAGCATGGAATTATGCAAGGAAATGTTTAAGCTGTGGGAGGGTTAGTGGTGGAGGCTTGACGGCAGCTTGAATCAGTGCACATGTTGATATTGAATTGATGGGCCATTGCTGTCACACTGTTATTGGGAGATCTCACACCCGTTTCTGACGGGCATTCAAGAGTCCCACTGAACCACATTAAAAGCAAATTTTGAATTAAGTACGGCAAAAGTTCAACATCTGAAACTCTCACATGTAGGTGCTAGCAGGCAAAAGATTGACACTTGAAGGTGCTCAGAATGACACCAGAGCGACTTGGTTTCAGATGTTGCTCTTTTCATGGGCCGAACCCAGTGCAAATTTATAACATGGTGCATCTGTCTGAAAACAAACTTTAATTGGGTCGACCCAAGTCACTCTTAACTCTATTTGGTTCGGCGCAACCCTCGAACGCCAGTCAGAAACGGGTGCTGCATTACCACATTTTGTTCATTTAACCTCACTGATGCAGCCTATGGAATACATGCTCATAATGGCACATGCGTTCAGCAGATACCATATACCGTTACATGTATACCGGAAGGGTCCTGTTTGTTTCACATGGATCTGGATCCTGACCGGTGGTTCATTGCTGGTTTGCACCATCTGTTATACAGGTTGTGTTGTCAGTGAGCCAACTGATTCAGATGGAATATGATGAGCAACAAACAGGCCCAAGCATGCACAGATTTGTCCAGCCAAGTTGTGACCAATGAACAGCAATGTCGAGTCAACTAAACGATATGTAACTTGGCCAAGACCCTTGGAGTCATTTCTTGCCATTGGCTGGCAATTTCATAGTTTCATTCAGCATCTGGCCTGTGGTAAACAAAATTATTCAGACTGCCCAAACAATGGTGGAAGAAAAACCAACTCTGGCAAATTAGCTGGGAAAATATACAAGATGTGCACACACTTTCAAGGGATAAGAATAAAAAATGTGTGAAAAGTGGAGAGTAATGGTACAAAACAGGAAAAAAGGTGGCAGAAGCAGTTCTGTGCCAAAGGATTACAGGTTACCAGTTTTGACTACACTTACATGTGCATGTCCATGTAGTGTACCGGTATCATACTTCCTGGAAAAACTGTTTCATACCAATTTACCAATGTGATCTACTGCACATTTCTGTCTGACGAGAGAAACACTAATGAATATGTTTCCGTCTTTTTTGTTTCAAAGATTGTTCTTTAAATTAGCACTTTCCTTCTGTTTTCTTAATGCACCACAAGATCGACAAGGAATTGTGCCCAGTTCATGAGATACATGTACACCATTCATGAATCAAGACCAGGTTTTCTGAAATTACCAATTATCCCAAAGCATACTTGATTTAAGACATACAACACATAGGCTATAATTTAATTTGCCATTTGAATACGTTTTTACCAGCTTGCAATTTGCACAGGTCATCATGACCTGTACGTTTCCGATTTGTACATGTTCATGCTGTGCAAGCAGGAAAATAAAATACATGTAAGTGTTCGTGACAAACAGAGCGAATTATTATGTCTTCTAAAAACCATGGACAACCATGGGATTAAACGGAGTAATAGAATATGTGATTGAAACAGGTTGACAACAAGAGAAACACCAACGTGATTGCAAAAAGAACTTCGGAATCATGTGCATACGACTCCAGGAAAATTCAAATTTCTGACTTTTCAGCCATGCTGAAATGGCACATGGATTCCAGTATTTTCCAAGCCCATATAGCACCTCTTACCATGCGGTCCAAAGATCTCCATCAGAATGGTGCCTCATGGCTATAGCCAACTGAGCTAGAGCTTGGCAGCATTGACAAAAGGACTTCATTTGCATCTGTATATACACACATACTGAGGGGATTGGGTGCATACGCTCTCACTGGGGTCAAAGGGCAAATATGCAAATGAAGAGGTGTGGTTTTAAATGACATTATCAGTGTGTGTGGTGTGTGTATATGCAGAGTGCATGTACAGTACACTACATATACACTGAACACACATGCACAATGTATGTACATGTACCTACACTGCATCTTTGTGACATAATGTGTACAATGTAATTTACATGTACATGTACATACAGAAGTTTTTCCAGCTAGCTAGCTCACGTTCAGGTTGTGAGACTGCTTTTGTGTGGATGACAGCACAAATCATGGCATGAGTTTTGAACTATTTCAAAATTTGTCCACAACTGGTGTACCTGAGAAACGCTCGGATGGTGCGGTATGTCATGAGAATGGTCACAGTCAGATTGGAAGGAATTTTGACAATATATTTCCGGTGCTCTTTTGAGTCATTCACACAAGTGCCATCAGTTAAAACTCCCCATTAAGCGACACGCCGGTACTGACAGAAGGATGGATGTAAGATCCCAAAATTGCAACACACAAATGCAAAAATTGGATGGGGATTTTTGGATTGTTCCAAGGACGTAGATAACTTTGGAAATTCTAAAATGTTTCTGTAACCTGCTGGCAACCATGTTCAATAGATTATTTCTTTGCCCATTCCTAACGCTGGAAGTGTTTCACTGATACAAAGCAACAAAGGCATACATTGTGACAGAATGACTGAGAAGTCGAGGTGCCCTGTTGGGTGATACACCCATACAAAAATGGTCCACAAATACGTGGGTGCATCAATCTCTCCGTTCGATGGTCCCTTGTCGAAACCTTGAGTCTCGCTGAAATTTGTTGCACTGGATAAAATGTGACACTTCCATGCACAAACTCTGCTTGGTTTGAACATGGAGAAAGGATTGAAGTCAAACCAAAATGCGCAATGCTGACTTTTCACTATCCATTCAGACAACAAAATTGTTCATAATTTACAAAATATAAAATAAAGAGAACATTTTGATGTCTTTGCCAAAACACCTCATTCATTGCAATGGGTGTTCTCTTTAAAGTCTGCAACCATATGTGCACTGTTTAGCATAGAAATTAATGAACTAATTTATTGAACATCATGTAGTGATACGATTAGTTGCATCTATCCTAATTTACTTCACAAGGCTGGTGGAGGGAATGGCCACTCAACGGCACAATTTTCCTGAATATTACATGTACATTATGCAGTTTGTGATCTGAATTGAAACTACTTGTGGCTACATGTAGATGCCTCTGAGAGGACAAGCTCGGGCCTGGACAATTAATACACACATCTACTAAAAGTGATGCAGCGTTCCTATGAACACGGAGGAAAAGTGTGTTCTTATTCATTCATGCTATGAAATTGTAGTCAAGTCTATCACGAGTCCTTCCAGAGGGCCTGTCACAAATAGCAAGGTCAACAAAGGCTGAGGAAGGCTTTTGTTAGGGTTCATTGTGAGAAGCTTTTGTGGCATGATAACTGGTGAAACTGGCTTGTGATGTCTTGTACCAGTAGGGATTTGTTATGGACAAAGACACAAACCTTCAATACTGGTATCTACCTGTCTACTAGGAGCCCTTATGCTCCACAACTTGGAGAGTAATTTACAGTTCCATCTTACTGGAAGTGGTTGAAGCCGGTGTGTGACACCAAAGCCAGAGACAAACCTAGGTCTGAGAAGTGATTCTTAGGCATACCAACTACCGAAAGATAGACGACCCCCTAACACACCAGTACATACATGTACATGTACGCATGTACTAGGTACAAGTGCACTTTGACTCGAGAGTTATGGGTCGCAAACGAGCAGAAACTGGGTTGTTAGTTTGCAAGTTTTATTGACCTTTTCTTGTTCGGTTGAACAAAGAGAATCTGCAGAAGTAGGGTTCAAACGTGCCACCTCTAGAATGCTGCACCAGTGATCTATCCACAAACTTCCACGCAACAGTAGTCTCCAAAATGTGTTGATCTCTAGGCTACAGCTGCGTGATTTGCTGTTCTAATGTTTTGATTTTGGTGTGTACATTTTGAGCAAATTGGGTACAATGTAGACCAGTACCTCAAAATTATCAAGGGTACATTTACACGTAGTTAATATGTAAATATCAAGTTAAACTGTGACATGATTGCTTTGTTGGTTTGCAAAGCCAGGAGAGTTTGATGATGCCAAAAATTGGGCCTCAACCCTAGAAAATTTCAAGCCTGAAGAACAACTAGGAAAAGCAAAATGAACCGAAAAACGAAGCATTTCCTCGGTTTCTTGGGTGCACATCTGGCTCCTGCCCATGGACCCAGCATGTACGCTGGCCGCAAGGCAAGCATGCACAGCGCAATGTACATGTATGTGCAAGGGCAGATCAGGGAGGGGCGGAGCAATGGGGGTATGTCCTCCCAGGAGCCAAACAAATTAAACCAAAAAATGAATCAAAGAAGGGCAACTTGGGGGGTCTATTTCCTACCCTTCCATAAGTGTGTAAAGAGTCCCAACATGTACAGGCAGCTCTACCTTCCAGAGAGGCCAAAAAAGTTTACTTGAAAAAAAAAAATTCCAAAAATTGGACCTCAAAAACACCCCCCCCCAAAAAAAATTGGTTTGAGATCTGCCCTTGAGTGTCTCACTATGGGCCTACTGCCTCTGTCATGTGACTCATTGGTTGCAGACAAACAGGCTGAAGAAACTGGAGACCACTGGCCTACCAGGCTGGGTAGGGCACGAGTTCAGTATTTCAAAGGTTTCAAGTTCGAATCCTGCTTCAGTCAATTTTTCAATTCAATGTACACAACAGGTCATGTCCACTCAGCACAATATTTCCATTACGTTCATTTTCTGCTAAACACCAGATGCTACTACTGGATAGTACTTATAAACACAATACATGTACCATGTACAGTATGTAAACTATGTACAGTTTGGCATACCAGAATATGTACTGTACACATATATGTACATAGTACACATCAATTATGCTGTCCATTCTATCAGTTCAACCTTTCCATAGCTAAATCACAGGGCAAGTTCGATTGAGGACCACTAGTTAACTGGTGGTTGGCCTCATGCATGTGCAGTGAAATTGAAGTGGAAACTGCACTGTACCTTAGTCAACCGTTGTCAGGTCATTTGGCCGAAGGAGAGAAAATGTAGCTGCAGGGAGGGTAAAATAGCAAAAAAGAAAAAAAGGATAAAATGGTACATGTAGTTGACTAGTGACATACGGTTCATTCCGGCATTTTTCTTACAACTGGTCCTCTCTGCACTGTGCTATTAAACAGGGTTTATGGTAGACAACGATGCGACCAACCTCAATGGGCTGGTGGCAAATAGTTCACCATGGTCAACTATAGTCCTTGATCGAACTTGTCCAGAGTAAACCTTTAAAATCAACCAGTTATAAGAATGGCAGCTCTCAGCGGCTGGAGCCAAAGAACACTGTGTCAATGAAAACATGCTAAGAATTTGAGGAAATGAAACAAACATTTACAGCATCAGGCATAAATAGAAAAGGCATTGCCCTAATTTCAAATTGCACAACTTACATGTAAAAAACAGACAAATACAGTACACGCTCTTGTCTCCTGATAGGGGCCTCTCACCGTTCTATAGCCGTTAGACAAGGGCCTTTAGGGACCATTCTTGACTGACCTTTTCAATGCTTTTGAGACATTTACAAAGGGGGTAAACACTTTCTTCCCTCTTACATGCACCCGGTACACTTGAAGCTGATAGGCCACTCACTCATTCATTACAAAAATAAGATCACAGGTCTTGTCTGAACTGGCTACATTGTGGCTACAACTCGTGTTTTCTGTCATAAGCCCAGCACAGTGAACAGCCCCAGTTGTAGGCAACAATGCCAACTTTGTGGCTCATTATTTTCAGGAATTAATGCTTCCTCAGAGTCGCGTATACATACATGTACACACAAACCTCCTAACAATTCTAACGATGGACTCCAATAGAGGTTTCAACTGAGTACAGATACAGTACTACAATGCAAACGACTGAGAAGCTTCTAGAATCACACGGGCCTGCTTAATTCATATGAATCTGGGTCTTGATAAGCAATCCAACAAGGCTGGCTTGCTCTATCCTCCATCCATTAGGCAGGTTCTGGTGGAGGTGAACCAATGTTGGATCACTGATCAAAATCCGGATCTATGCAAAACAGAGAACAAGCCAGCTAGTTTTTATATGAGAAAGCTAAGATTTTGGAGTGTACATGTGCATGCGCTGGAACTTCAGGAGAGCTGTTCGTATAAAATTTCAGGGCGTGATCTATTTTGATTCAAAGCAAGACGTTTGAGATGCTTGGTGGAAGCAAACATACACAACCAGTCCACTACTGTTTGTATCACTTGGTGCATGTCCACATTAGCTAGTATTTGTCACCAACAATGGAAAAAGAGTACGTCTGCTGCCACCAAGGGTCTTGAAATTCTCCCGTAATTTTAATCAGTTTTGACTTTTATTACCTCCACTACCTTTATTTTAATCTATGGAAAATTTGGTGTGAATTCCAAAACTGTCAGACGTTACCAAACCTTGCATCTCTGGTGAATGGGCTTTATACTGTCAATGTGTGCATGAATTTACAGAGGGGTGTCTACATTTGCAAGAAAGTTATTTTTTGAAAACAATTCACATACCTTTTACCCGCATACAATAACCAATTAATTTAAGCACACTCTTTGTGGTACAAATGGCAAGCACACTTACATGTATACTGCACTCAATCTCCACAATGTCATTTATAAAAAAAGGTTAAAGAACATGTATAAATTATAAACAAATAAAACAAACCATTCCAATAAAGTTGTCAGCACTACCAGGCTAACAGATACATTGTATCAGTTGCCAATTTCAAGAATATAAACAGATTTGGTGAGGGTAGGCATGGTAGGAGTTACTCTGCTCAGTAAAACGGGTTACCATCCAAAGTTTCCTGTGACAGATATTGCCTGTGACTGGTTCCCAAGCCGTAAACAAAAATTTAGTGAGCACTATTTTTTGCTTAATGGCCGAATGGAATTCTGTCAAAGACGAAATAAAGTACATGTACATGTATATTGGAGCAGTGTCCCACCTTAGTGCTTGCACGTACAGTGTTCTGTTTTTTGGGGGAAATACACGTAGAAATAAGTAAGACTCAATGGCAAAACTCAGCACGAAATAAAGCCACTGTTGCACAACTGAAATTCTTTTAGCACCTGTAGTTCACGGATGAAACCTCCATTTTTGAACATACAGATTGTGTGGATTTTGCTTAAACTTTGAATATCATACCCAAACATCCGTTCTGGTCATGTGTAATATTTGGCCTTGCTTTTGTGGAATAAATAGTAGGCCTACTTGACATAGGTAATAGTTTGCAGTCCATGGGCATCAAGCAATGCATGCTTGATCATGTTGAGTTCATCGACAATACTGGCCAAGATATGATTCTGGTTTTCCATGAGCTTTAAGAAGCGCTCTTGGAAGTCTGTGGTTGGTCCAAAGACAGCATCCGATCCAGGCTCCTCTGGGCCTTGTCGCGTGCCCGATTTGGCATTGCTTCTGACGCTCTGGGGACACTCTGGCACTTTCACGCCATTCTCGACGACAGCCCTCTTGCACGTTGCATCATCTGATGCTTCCCCCACGACGGACAGGTGCAATGCCTCTCCAGTTGCCTGCAGATGAGGACCAGAGTCTGGATCTCCGTCCGCAGGATCAGCAACTTCTTCATAATCCACACGAATGAAATTCTCTTCCTTGATGTCCAGCTCAGCAGCCGAAGTTTGGATACGTCGCTTGCACGCCGGTGCGTCCTCAAAGTGTTTGCGCTTCCGATCATGATGGCTAGTAACCCGTTTCTGTTGGAAGCTGGCAGAGGGTGCTTCAGCATCTTCAGGTGGCCGGGGGACTGAACCGAGGTAGTACATTTGGTAGTATTCTTCGTATAGGTCGTAGACCCGAACTGAGCCTCTCAGCTTACGCTCGGGGGGTTTGGCCCCTTCTTCGCAGGTCTCAGCTTGCAGTAAGATGTCGCGATAGGCTCTACCTGTCTTCTTGAGGAAGTTCTGGACTACCAGCCCATCTGCCCCAATGCAGGAGCCCAGCATATCATAAAACTCGTCCATTCGGCGCAGCTCTTTAGCCATGAGGTAGTCTCCGTAAGAGTTGCGCAAAAGGCTGAAAAATTCCTCTACCTGCTCACTTCCCCAAACGAATCTTTTAGCCATTTTTCTCTCCTAAAACACAAATTGAACAAAACTGCGATCAGTGTTTTTAACCTCCAGGAGATTTTTTTGAAAGAGCTTGTTTCAAAACCACAACCCAATAAAAATGCTTTGGGCCGTTTTCCAAGCTTCAACTGTTTTTTTACTAGCTGACTTTGAAGCTGTAAGCCTCGTAATCAGTCTAATAGTGCCACAGAACATCAAATAAGATGCAAAAAAGCAAAAAATTACAATAATCCAATGTAATTTAAACACTTCAGGCCATGGTTTTGGGAACGAAGCCTGAGACGGAGACGAAGTTGAGTATTGGAAAATGGCCATGGTACATGTATGTGTACACACGCAACCAACAGACATTCAATCTGAAGAGCCCTGGGGAGTGTCCAGGCAAATTTGTCCATGTTCAGACTCTAAACCCAAGTAAGACAAGGTAGTGTAGAATATGAAAACAGGAGATACATGTGCGGAATACACTGTGAACTGCAAAGTTTTCGAGAGAGCATAAGATATTAAACTGAATTCAAACATTAAAAAAAATCCCAAAATGCTTTTAAAAAAATGAAGTGAACTCAATCTGAGAGTATCCCTTAACACCAAAAAGCAGAGACTCTTTGATCCAACAACAGCAAAGTGAGATAGCTGCTGAAACCAAGATAATCCACGATCTACATGTACATGAACAGATCCTAAAAGCTAGAGATCAGGCCTCCTGCTTTATTTCAGTATGCTAAAACCACTTCAATCTGGCACGACAGAAATTTGTCTGTTATTGGATCTTGTTGGATTAAGCATGGTAGGCAAATTGGTTGTGGTACATGTAAATGAAGGCATGTCAAAATCCCACAATTACGAATGAAACTCACTTGGAAAGCTCTAGTCCTTGACTGACGGTCTTCGGTGGTAGCAGCAGAGTGCACAGGCATTCGTTGACTAACACAGATGACAGTGAACAGGCAGTTTTAAACGTTGAGGATAGTGAGCCGGGGAGGCGCTTAAGGTTATACCGTAAATCTACGACGCGGATCGGTTCACTTTGCATCTATGATTGCGGGTAGTCCAAGTCACATCAGCCGTGGTTAAGTCGTCTGAGTAAAGCCCTTCAAGAAAAGACACAAAGCAGATTTAGTTCCCGGGTTTTTTACATGCAACATGCTGACCATTCTGTTTGCGGGATCCCTGTTCAGCGACACTCATTGTGGCTAGGTTCAGTGTCCTGCCAACGGCTCAAATTGAAAAGAAAACACTGATTTTCTCATACTTTTACCCAAATGAACTAAAATATGAGAAAAAAGTTAACTTTGGTCTTTTACTTGGTTGGACTTTACTCAGACTTCAACATCTGGCAAACATCAAACGTCAAACACACATAACCAGCAAGCACTTATGCACAGAAACTTGCATTTGGGGTCGTTGCCAGCGAGAATGAAGTGTTGGTAATCTACATGTACATGTAAAGGTACATGTACATGTATGTACACTGCACATCACACTTAAGGATTGTCGTTGGAGGGTAAAGGGGTCTGAATTTCTCTGCTGGCCATGTGCGGATGTGCCGTGTCCCTGGGCAAGCCATGTTACCCCAACTTGCCCCTCGCCACCTTCCCCTATTGGTGAGTGCTTCATGTGGGATGGACTGACTTCCCATCTGTAGTAAACTGAAATATTCTCAGTTGGTTCTTGCCAAGGAAACCAATGCTAACAGTGGCTTGACAAGCCAGGTTACTCGTTTTTACTCTCAACAGGCAAATACTGTGACCTTGGCATACATATGAGAGTATGTTGTGGTGAAAGGCAGTACAATTAGACAGTCATTTGGGAAAGTGTCTGGTTTCATGAGGAAGACTTGAATCGTCTTCCCCTTGTGGAAAAGATGGTACATGATCTCATGTGTAATTGTGAGTGGTACCATCCTATCTCTCTGAGTAGGCAGACATGTAGTGATACCTGTGAACTGTCCTGATGCTTGGCCCCTCGGCGGGGCAGGGGTATAGCTACATGTACTTGTATGAATAATTTACCATGTTACACTTGATTGGTGGATTTGCATGTTAGTTATCTACACAGCAGTGACAACAGGTGCATGCAGACACAAATCTGGTCCTATAGGCACATGTAGCTTTGCAGCCAATCATTACAGCTATGACAGATCACTGGTACATGTCTACATAGTGTACGTGTGCAGTGCGTTTTTATAGGGCAACGGACTGAGATAGTAGATCCTCAGAGTGCACCCAAAAATATTAATGTGGTGGTACTGTATACGTGTCTACGTATGTGAACATGGTGAATACCAGTAACCTCATTTGTAAGTGCTGTACTTTCAATATACAATATACATGTACACATGTACATGTGCATGTACAAATACATACACCGTAGGTGTACATGTACATGAAGCTGCCATTCTGTATCAGCTATCAACCTGACATGTTCTCTTCTCCCATGCAACACTGCAGGGCGCGATTGGTCGATCTCCATGTACAAGAACGGTCCTATCGTTGTACAATCTGTTGATCTTGTAATTAACATTTTGAAACTCTACGTCCTCTGTATCTGAGCAGGTGGTGTTTTTTTTTCTAATTGGCAGTCATGGCATTTGTGAAAGACTGCTTCAAACAGATCAAATCGCGGAGACATACTGACCCACAGACCGATCCAGTGAGCCCCGTCCACTGCTCATGTGGGTACTTAATTAGCATAGTGCTCTTCTCCAATACCACACTTCGTGTTCCTGCCGTGTGTCATATGATGCCTGTGCAGGTACACGTGTGTTGGACCTCTCTGCATATACAATGTATGTCAGACGTACTGTACATGTAAATCACAATTGTGACTGGTCAGAACACAGTGGGAGTATAACGGATTGGTCTGAGCACTGTGCAAGTTGACATGTTGACCGATTGCAATGTCATGAAGAATGACTGGCCGTGCAGATCAGTTGATATCACACTGCAGTCTGCACTGTTGCTCATATCTCTGGGTTCCATGCGGATTTGTGCAATTGTGCAGACTGACCAAGGACCAATCATGGAGATCAAATATTGTCATGATTGTGCACATAACCAATCGTGTACATACGACCTACTGGTCGTGTACCCCCAGAACTGCAGTGTGGGGTTCGACATCCGTCACGTTCCCACGAATGTGGGAGCACGACAGACGATGGAACGCACCGTTCTGGTGAAGCACATTGGCTGATCAGGCACATCGAGCAATCGTGCAGACTGATGCCCAACATCATCAACTCGGCCTAGTCGTCAATTTCACAACCAACCTCTGAAATATAGCTACAATTTCAGTAAACAAAGGAAACAAAACAAAAGCAATCAATCTGTAAACACGTCATATCCGTCGTTAAACGATCTGCAATGAAAAAAAACCCAATGATTTTACATCAGTCCTGCACAGAAACACTTACCAAACCCAGGATGAGTTGGTTGAAATGAAGCAATTGGTGTTAACAATGTCCTTTTTCAGGGAGTTGTTCGCGCCCCCAACGCCAAAGTAAGCACATGTATTGATGTAATGTACATGTACATGTACAGTACGTACATGTATGTGTTCAATTGACAGGTGAAATGCACTGTGGGAATGAATTAAACAGCCGTCGCATAATAGCACGATATAGCAAGCTCAGCACGGACGCTGCGCATGCGGTCAAAGTGTTATACTAGCCTGGTACTCGGCGGCTACTTGATAACTTGTTTCACACAACGAGATATCAGCCAAAACAAACCAGACGGTTGTTCACTGCGCTTTCGATGCTTCTCCTATCACGATACAGGAGGAAACCCTTCGTTTCAGTCAGTTTCAAGTCGAAACCAAGCCGAAATAATGGCAATCCGGAGGCGTGGCGGGAGCACCAAGAATCCACCGATTCTCAGCCATGAGTTTGTGATCCAGAATCATGCAGACATCGTGTCGTGTGCCGCAATGCTCATTTTGCTCGGTCTAATGTTTCAGGTTTGTATTTCGTCTGCACAGCAGGACGGCAGCACCACTGAACAAGAATTTCACGTGTACTGTGCGATTGCCACATCAGCACAACTTTGTGCACAAACTGAATGGGGGTTCCCCATATGGCAATTCATAAAGTAGCACAGTTAGACAAGCATCTGTTTTGCCACGAATGCATTCCTTTTAGGCTGACTGCATTAATTATTTGTATATGTAATTGAGGTTTGTTCATGTATCTCTCAGTTTCATATAAAAAAACAGAGCAAAAGAAAACGAATTGCATCAGTTTACAAATGCTAATTTAGCCTGGGTCAATGCCTACATGTACATGATATCACATCCCACCTCCATCATGACCATGGTAAGGCCCACTCAGAGTTTAGCAATATTTCATGTCACTCTGTGACTGTGACTAGTTCAATCATATCAGTAGAAGGAAGTGCGGTGTTTCTTTCTTCATGATCTTTGACAGTTTGAGCATGTTACTTAGCAATTTAGTCCAATATTGCTAACTAGCCACTGACTAGGAAGCCTTTTTGTTTTATTTGGTTACAACTGTGTAATTCGAAAGTTTTTTATTTCTTATGTATCAGCTGGTAGCCTGTTTAAGATATTGTAATTGTCTTTCTTTTTAATCTTTTTAATGGTATTTAGTGTACAGCACTTTGTGATGTCGTTGACATGGAAAGCGTTTTTAAATAATTCATATTATTATTATTATATTGAAAAATTAAATTCTGGGTTAGCCTACATCAGTAGGCCTATGTTAACTCTTCTTCATACACTGACACGTCGTGACTGAACTTTTTAAATTGGTAAACTGATCAAGTTGTTCTGAAGTGAAACCATTCTGTTGGAGCTTGTGTTGCTTGTCAGGCTTTCAGCGTGGCCTGCTTCCGTATTCGTCTCACTTTCTAAACTCGAGTTTACACAAACCTTACCCAAGATTCAAGAGGCCGATGGGCAGTGTTATTTAATTCAATCTAAAGTCTTGCTAAGTTTATCATTGTGCGTACGTGTATTACAGGGGATTATGATTAGTTGTTGCAACATAATGCAACAAAGTGCAAAGTAGTACAACGCACTCCCACAGCAGATTTTGTTGCTTTCTTCAACGCACAGTATAACCACCAACCTTGGTATTATACATTTTTATTGATTACCTTATCCAATAATATGCAACAGTTGTTAATCTCTGTTGCCTTTTACTTCTTCAAGGAAGCTTTTTGAAAGCAAAAATGGTCACTTGTAATTTTACCTCGTCCTTATCCCCATACATGTAGTTGGTGCACACGTGTAATGTTTCAAAACTGCTGTCAGCTCAAAACTCGCATGCAAGTGAAACAAACGCTGACAGGGAATCTTGATTTTTCTTTCAATTTTCCTGTTGCAGATTACCAGTCCACTCTCGTCAACATTTGTTGCCATGCAATATAACGTGACAGTCAACAATACTGAAGGTACGGGATGCACCCTCATCATCTGCTGCAGTGCTTCAAAAATTTCCTTTCATTTGTGGGATTTGCCCTTGAGGTTCAGTGATGCAATTCCCACAGCTGCGAGTTGAGTTACTGTGTGCAGGCATAGACCGTGCAGGGTATAGACCGTAAGGGAGGGGGGGCGGGCCACACCGATTTCTTTAACCCATGCAGTTTGAGCTACAGTTTACTGCCTGGCCACTCTACTTAGCCAAAGACTTGACCTGAAAAAGTGGGGGGGGGGGTATTACATGTAAACGAGGCGCAAGACCATTATGTGAATGACATTGTAACTGTTTGTGGGAGTGCTATTGTGACAAAAAGTACACAAAACTTAAATCTTAAAACAAATCTTATTGTGTGCTAGCCCTAACATTTTTGTTTGGACGCATGGTGGATAGCATTAGTGGTGTAAAAGTGATTAGGTTTCTCTCTTTTACACCCTTTCCTAAGCAAGGAGTCAGTATTCACCCCGGTATCGAATCAGGCATTTCAAAATATAGCCAAGGGACTTCCCCCCCCCAGGTCTGACATCTGAAAGCTACAAAGTATGCTTGAAGACTTAATCCTCATCCGTTGGAGCAGGTCACACTTGGATCTGAGAGAGTCTGTGAAACATGCCTACTCACTTCTTCCTTCTTTCAGATCCGGATGCTGAACCCACGACCCTCTACCAGCATGGCCTGTTAGACATCTTTAGTGTGTTCTTTTACTTCCTCATCTGTGTGGTGATCCATGCCGTCATCCAGGAGTATGTCTTGGATGTAAGTAGGAGGCAGCAGGTTGACGTCCCCCTGGCTAGTTCCTTAAAACAAAGGAAAGACATTGATCTGGACCCCTCAAGAGGTTATCCATGGTTTTCTTGGGATTGAAGCTGTCATACATGTAATTTGAAGGACAAGGAAAATTGTCCATTCGTATTTGGGTGATTATAGAAATTAGAGGTCCAACTTGGGGACATTGTGGTGTTCTGTTACGGGTGAAACCATTCAGCTTGTCTGGATGGATCTAATATTAGTACCGTTCACATTCTGTAGATCAAACAGGATTACATTGTTTATGACCTGTACAATATACAGTTCAATCTGCACAATGTTTGATAATGTGGTTACAATTTTACACGAAGAAAAGTTGAATGGCTTCACATGTAACAGGACACCAAGATGTCCTCAAGTTGGACCCCTAATTTATAGAATCACCCATTTGTGTACAGAGAGAGACGTGGCATTTGTGTCTCTGAGCAAGGCATTGTACTGTGGTAAATGTTCTCCATGAAAGAGAACACAGACTAGTAATTAGAAACAGGTGATTGTTGCAACCAACATATGCCATCTCACTGTCAATAAGGAGCTGAGGTATCTATTGGTGTGATGGTCAGGGGTAACAATAATCCTCACTTTTCAGCATAAAACCACATGGCTGCTTTACCGTCCACTGGTGACTTACTGGACCCACGTTCCTAACTGTAACCCTCCAAGATCTTTAGGTTTTGAGGGAATGAAAAAATTTAAAAAGTGAGGCCTGGTCACAATTACATCATAATAAAGGGCTTAAAGGGTAGTTGCAATCAATAATTGTTTTATTATAAACGTTCAAAAGGTACATGTACGTGTACCCTTGCGTCTCAGTTGACCTTAGTTTAGCTTTCGTTTCAGTGTCTAAGGATATTTTATTGTCTTTTTGATATTTATGCTAATGGATTTCCATATTCATGAGGAAAATGGTGATGTCATCCCCAGAACAAAGCCTCAGTGTTACATTGGTTTGTACCCAAAAAGGTCCTGTGTTTTTGTAGATTTTGCTGGATTCAGTTTTCTCTACTTCGCTGATGCACTGTTTATGTGCATAGCAATAAGCAAGCATCAATCCCTTTCTCAAAAATGTTTTCAGTAAGTAAACTCTGGGTTCGCAGTTTGAACAGAAAAGCGCCCTAGACGGCATCACAGCAACAGCAACCTCAGTTGTCTTGGAAAGCATAAATAATTTTAAGTGTTTAAAAAGGGCGCCTTTCCATGCATTTAACTAAAGTGGAATATAAAGGGGGTTTTCACACATTGAACTGTTGAAGAAGAATACAAAGTCGAAGAAAAACTGTGTCGAAGAAAAATTCATTGCAGTTACACTTCAAAATTGTTTGAAAGTTTATAAGTACAGAAATCTGTTGTCTTTCAGAAAGAAAGATTTTGAGATTTCAAGAAGGTTGTAAGAGTTTGGACTCAACGTTCAATTGTGTGATTATGGGTGTACGTAAATCTAGAATGATCAATTTCTGGTCTTGGCTTGGCAGAAACTTAACCGTAAGCTGCACCTGTCCAAAGTCAAGCACTCCAAGTTCAACGAGTCGGGCCAGCTGCTGACCTTCTACCTGATGTCTGTGATCTGGGGTGTCCACGTCATCGTCAAGGTGAGTTAACATCAGACTTGCAGGGGGGAAAGTGACCCAGTGCTTGGCAGTTTTGACCCTTCATCAGGGGACCAGGGAGACACTTATCTTGTGGGATGGTCTACAGATTTTATAGATTGAATGTTCAATTCTGCACTCTCGTCATATTTCCATAGATTGTATGCTCTTAAGTTGAAAACTCTAATACTTTCTGAATAC